GAAAACCCTTCTAGCCTCCCTGAATTATACTAAGTAAGCAGAGACCATCATGGATGTAAGGGGCACCAGTAAATACTTGTTGAAAGAATGAATGAATAGTCCTTGATGGTCTTCTTTAGAGATCAATCATATGGGCACAGCAAAAAGAGTACAGGAGGTCAAAAATGGTTAGGGAAGGCATCCTGGATTTATATAGACAAATAGGTCTGGAAAGATACTTGTTTCTTAGAGCTATCGTATCTCCTGACGCCATGTTGGCATTTGGTAGGACCTCCATGGCTACTTGACATCTCAGAGGGTCACAGAAGAATAGCTAAGAGACCATGTCGTCTAATACCTACATCTTTCTTACATATGGGGAAACTAAGGCCCATAAAGGACAATCTCTGTTACTCATACAACATATCTAAATAGGGGAAGAAATGAAATAAACCCCACTCCAGTCCAGCACTGTTAGGATTTGTGTCAGGCAGAAGATGCACCCAGACTCTTGGTCAGAGACCAGCCATCATTCAAGGGGAGGGGTCCAGGAATGCCAGCGATGATGGGCAGAAAGTGGGGGGTCAGGAGTGAGGGCACTGGATAGTTCAGAGGGTTTTTGTGTTACCTTCATTGAAGTCTATACATTTCTTTGCACAGTTAAACTTGCAAAACTTCATCTTCCCTGGGCAATGTTTTTTCCTCCCACAATGGTCGCTTTCTTTGAAACTGCATGGTGGTGTGTTTTGGGGACACTTCTCTGAGGGAGGAAACAAGGGAAGAAGGAAGGCTAGAACCCTCCATGGCCAGGCCCAGGGCACCACTGCCAAACTAGAGAAGCCTTTTTTCACTTCATCATCCCCAGAAGGTAGTGACCTTTAGATGGCTCTGGATTTTCACACCACTGCCCCCACTCCCAATCCTGTAATGACTCACCATGTAGTACCTACACCCAGCACTACCCCACCCCAACACTCATAACATTTCAGAGAGAAGGATGCTGTCCACTAGGGCTACTCTGGTCGCTTGGCTTTCCTGTGTTTGGATGTTCCCTGGGTAGGGGCGAGGGTGCTGTAGCTCTTCCAGGTGACTGAGGTCTCCATTTGTGGAGTCAGGTGTGGTGTCTAGACTTTGAATTCTGTGCAACCCTTGGTATGACAGGCACCACCCGTGGACCTTAACTCATTCATCTGCTTATAGAGTTAGTTTGAGGATTAGGTGATAAATCTTGTAAGCCATCGTCAAGCTGCTTGGGGCATAATAATAATAACTAATATTAACAAGGTGCTTACTGTACCCTTGTCCTTTTCCCCTTAATTCTCATGACACTTCTATTGGTGAGTCCTATCAATACCCACATTTTATAAACAGGGGAATCTGGAGCACAGGGAGGTTTTGTGAACTTCCCCAAGGTCACACACAGCTACTGAGGAGCAGAACCAGGATTTGAACCTGCAATGTATGGCTTCACTGCTGAGTGTTCAGTATATTTTAGCTGCTACTTAAAAGGGATCTTCATATCTCTGCATTTCAAGGGACTTCCAGAGACCATTCTTTACTCCAAAAGCAAGGACCCTCTAGGGTGTGGGTGTGGGGAGACTTTGGGGGCTGCAACTGGAAGATTTGAAGCTGCTAAGGGTGGTGCTAGGGGGAGGGATCTTTCTTCTGGGGAAGGTCCATAAAGTTCCAGCCCCTTTTTAGTCCATCTTATGGGACCCTGGTCCAGAAGGAATCCCTCTCATAATCACAGTGGGGAGTCCGTTGCTACAGACTCAAGTTCCTGTGCTCATAGAGCACATCTGTCCAGGAGTTTGGCTGAGAATATCTCCCCTTTCTCTTGCCCAGGACCCCAGGCTGAAGGGCGGAAGTGTTCCTCCTCTGTAGAATTCTTTGTTTCTCCCTCCCAGCAACTTCCATTTTTCCACCGGGAGGCCCTAGTCCCTGATACTTACTGCCAAAAAGTGCCTCAACCAACTCAGCCTCCTGAACTCCCTCCAGGTGGATGAATAGTGCCAGAACTGGCACAAGTCCCAAGGGCCCCATTTCAAGAGCTACTGGCCTGGCTGCTGGCACCAAAATTAGGAGTTGCTCCTCAGTAGCTCCTACTTCTGAACTTTGGCTGTCCTGGCTCAGGAACCACATATCACTGGAGACAATACAGCCACACTTCCTGTGCAGGGGAACACCAAGTCCCCGAGGCCATCGGCGGGAGTATCTGGTACCCACAGCACCAACCCTGGGGGAAGAAACTCTTGAAAGGCAACTCCTACTTCTCAGCTCTCTGTGGCTCTCTGACTCTCTGGTCAACCAGGGAGAGGGGGCAAAGCTTGTCTGGGACTTCTAGACTCCCTTGGAGAAAGGGAAGTTCAATTCCAACATCTTCCATTTCCCAGTGTTGAGAGATCAAGAATATTCCAGTTTTCTTTCCAATCTTACCCTTCTCCTGACATATCTGTTTGTCTCCTTATTTCTCTCACACTTTATTTTTCTTCTTTCTGTGCTCCCTCCTTTTGCCGTGTGCCTGCCTTTTTCTCTTTTCCTCTGAGTCACCCTCTGGATCTCTTTCTCCCTCCCCTTTATTTCCCTTCTGTCCTCCTTTTTCTTCTTTTTGGGCCATCCCTTTTCTTTAACCATCGTCAAAAAGTAAAGGCATTACCATGGGTAGCATGTGGGGGAGGAGACAGGTTGATCTTAGGTTGAACCAAATCTCCAGAGAGTGTTTGTCAAGATCATGGTGCTTTGAAAGCAGGAAAGGAATGTAAGCTGGTGCAGCCCCTCTGGAAAACAGTATGGAGATTCCTCAAAAAATTAACAATAGTACTCTCTTATGACGCAGCAGTAGCACTGCTAGGAATTTACCCAAGGAATACAGAAGTGCTGATGCATAGGGACACATGTACCCCAATGTTCATAGCAGCACTCTCAACAATAGTCAAATCATGGAAAGAGCCTAAGTGTCCATCAACTGATGGATGGATCAAGAAGATGTGGTATATTTATACAATGGAATACTACAGGGCAATGAGAAAGAATGAAATCTGGCCATTTGTAGCAACATGGATGGAACTTGAGGGTGTTATGCTGAGCAAAATAAGTCAGGCAGAGGACAGATACCATATGTTGGCACATATAGGTGGATTAGAAGGAAGTTAATGAAGGACCATACGGGAGAAGAAGGGGAAAAATAGTTGGGGAGAGGCAGGGAAACAAACCATGAGAGACTCTTGAATGCTGAGAACAAACTGAGGGCTGATGGGAGTGAGGGGGAGAGGGAAGGAGGGTGATGGACATGGGGGAGGGCACTTGTGGGGATGAGCACTGGGTGTTATACGGAAACCAACTTGACAATAAACTATTTAAGAAAAAAGTTTTTTTAATGAAAGCAGGAAAGGATGCCAGCACTTCCAGAGAGCCTCAATTATTGGGTGCAATTTGGAATGGGTGATGCAAAAGGGAAATAATAACTCTCAGTTATGACATCAGAACCAGCAGCCGTGGGGCATGAAGATTCTTCCATTGAGTTCTTCAACTTAAGGTTTGAAGGTTTAATAAGGCATGTTCTTGGCTCCCTTCTGATTTCACCTGTGGCTGCAGGAGACAGACCTAGTGCCCATTTTTTTTCCTAACCCACTTTTAGAAATATTGAGGTGGGATTCATATCAGATAAGATTAACCATCTTTAACAGGACAGATCAGAGGCTTTTTAGTACCTTCACAATGTTGTGTGACCACCACTGTTATTAGTTCCAACATATTTTTATCACTCCAGAAGAAAAGCTTAGGGGCACCTTGCTGCCTCAGTTGGAAGAGCATGCAACTCTAGATCTCAGGGTTGTGAGTTCAAGCCCCATGTCAGGTGTAGAGATTACTCAAATAAATAAAACTTTAAAAACAAGAACAAACTGAGAACTGATGGGGGTGGGGGGAGGGGAAGGAGGGTGATGGGCATGGAGGAGGACACTTGTGGGGATGAGCACTGCGTGTTATATGGAAACAAACTTGACAATAAACTATCAAAAAATAAATAAATAAATAAAAAATAAAAACAAAAACAAAAGAAAACCTTATACCTATTAGCAGTTGCTATTTCCCCCAGCCAAAGCCTGTCCCTGGCAAACAGTACTTTCTATTGCTATGGATCTACCTATTCTGGATATTTCATATAAATAGATTCATACAGTAGATGACCTTTTGTGTATGGCTTTTTTTTTTTTTTTTTTTTTGCTTAGAGTAATGTTTTGAGGTTTCTGTGGCATATGTTAGTGCTTCCCTCCTTTTGTGGCCAAATGACACCCAGTGCTCAGAGATAGCTCCCAACTTCAAGTGTCAGTCTCTACCTCTGTGCTACAGGTTTTCTCTGGCTCCCTGACAGCTTGCTCAGCTTGCATGCGGAACAATCTGGAAGAGCGAGGGGTTTAATACCTCCAGGCATCCAGGAGGGGATGGGAATCGATGAATAAACGCCTCAACTGCCCCATCACAGGAGATCAATGCAGACATTTGGACACATGTTTTACAGCATTCCTTAGAAGGCCCCCAGGGAGAGTAAGCTGTAGTTTCCCCCCATGGTAACCAGCTCATAGTTGACTCTTCTCTTCCTGTATCACTTATTCCACCCCACTTTGCATATCTTGAGATCTTCCAAGTAAACTGCTTTTACCCAAGTCCTTGTCCCAGATTTGGTTTCTGGGGGATCCAAACTAAGGCAATGCCTAGAGACCCTGAGTCAAAAAGGCTTTACAATTTTTGAAGAAACAGAGGAGGACAATGTCCCTGGAGCTCTCAACTCAAGAGCTGACTGTGTTCCCTCCCTTTCATTGTATCACAAGAGGCCTCAGTGACCCTTTATTCTCTGCAAAGTGTAATAACCAACAGATGTGAATTATTCAGCCTCAGAAGCACAGGGCTACACAAAGTACTTTATTGGGGTAAACTGGGAGCTATGCAGGGGGCTCTAGACGTTAGACATAAAGGAAAGAAGCATAGAGATGGGTCAAAACAGAATAATACCATGTTTAAGAGGCTGAGATAGAGGAAGGCAAATGCAGATCCTGGGGCTCCATATGGGGAAGAGCTGAGGCCTTGGAACGTGAGAGTAGAACGGTGGAAACCAACACGGAACATCGGTCAGGCACACAGACAGAGCCTTGGATCATGAGCCAAATCCTGGTGGTTGTTCAGGTACATCCTAATGAGGATTATAAGCCTGGAGAGAATGTAGGACAGGACCAGCTAAGCACTTTGGGCTCAGCTTATCTTTAGAACAAATCTTGACGTTACATTTGTATATCTTTGCACAGCAGATTAAAACAAAGTGGGTTTGCTCTGGGGAGCTATAGCTTTCCACCTTAAAGGCAGAATTGAATGTGGTTGGGAGTAGACAGCTGGCGATCCAGCACTAATCTGGAAGCCTTGTGACTTCTCTGATGTTGGTCTCTGGGATTTCACCATGTCTGCATCCTCCTTCCAACCCTCTTACTTGCCAGCTTTGATTCATGACCATGTCCCTTCCCAGCCTTAGTTCCTAGAAAGCTGCTGTACAACCCTCTGCCAGGTGCATACTTACCTCCAAAGTGGAACTGGCTCTGCCAACATCTGGTCTACCAAGGATGTAGCCATCCCTGAACAAAGCAGCCAAACCCAGACCTCTCAGCATGGCCCTAAGAGGTTGAGAAACCCCATAGACTCACCTTTTTTGGGGCACATATTCTGGCACATGGCTTTGGACTGGAAGTTGTTATTGTTCCCTTTGCAGCCACCATAGATGAACTCGGAGCAGGTGTCCTTTTCCTTATCATACCACCAACGACGAAAAAAAGCCATGCAGGGGCCAGTTTCTTTGGGCATATCACATATATCTGTAGGAAGACCCCAGAGTTGAGAAATAAGAGTGCCCACCCCTCAGAAAAGGAGCTGTTATTGTTACCCTTGGACACCACCAGAGATGAAACTGAGCAGGCTCCTTTCACCTTTTCATACCTCAGGAGCCCAGACCCATTGGTGTGTTGTACAGATTGTGGGGAGACCCCAGAGTGGAGCTGTTTGGGTTTGGACCCCAGAGTGAGTGATGTTCTCTGCATCCCCAGAGAACATCAGTCTTCCCATTCCTTCTGATCACTCTCTCTATTGTCTTCCTTGAGAGTGAGGAGACTAAAGGCTCTGCTTCCAAAAAATAAACTATTGGGACCTCATCAAGATTAAAAGCTTCTGCACGGCAAAGGAAAAAATCCATAAAATTAACAGGCAACAAATGGAATGGGAAAAGATAGTTGCAAATGACATATCAGATAAAGCGTAAATATCCAATATCTATAAGGAACTCACCAACTCCACACCCGAAAAACAAACAACCCAGTGAAGAAATGGGCAGAAGATATGAACAGACACTTCTCCAAAGAGGACATCCAGATGGCCAACAGACACATGAAACGATGCTCAGCATCCCTCCTCATCAGGGAAATACAAATCAAAACCACACTGAGATACCACCTCATGCCAGTCAGAGTGGCTAAAATGAGCAAATCAGAGAATTCTAGATGCTGGCGAGGATGTGGAGAAACGGGCACCCTCCTACACTGTTGGTGGGAATGTAAACGGGTGCAGCCCCTCTGGAAAACAGTGTGGAGGTTCCTCAGGAAACTAACACTAGAACTCCCCTATGACCCAGCAATAGCACTGCTAGGAATTTACCCAAGGGATCCAGGAGTGCTGATGCATAGGGGCACATGTACCCCAGTGTTCACAGCAGCACTCTCAACAATAGCCAAACATGGAAAGAGCCTAAGTGTCCATCAACGGACGAATGGATCAAGAAGATGTGGTTTATCTATAGGATGGAATACTCCATGGCAATGAGAAAGAATGAAATCTGGCCATGTGTAGCAACATGGATGGACCTTGAGGGTGTTATGCTGAGCGAAATAAGTCAGGCAGAGAAAGACAGATACCATATGTTTGCACGTATAGGAGGATTAGGAGGACTTAACGGAGGACTGTGGGGGAGAAGAAGGGGGGCAATAGTGGGAGAGGGGGAGAGAGGCAAACCACGAGAGACTCTTGAATGCTGAGAACAAACTGAGGACTGATGGGTGTGGGGGGTGAGGGGGGTGATGGGCATGGAGGAGGGCACTTGTGGGGATGAGCACTGGGTGTTATATGGAAACCAACCTGACAATAAACTATTTGTAAAAAAATAATAATAAATAAATACAAATAAAGGCTCTGCTTCCAATTCAGTGTGTGCATATTGACCTCCCACGTTAACTGTCTTGTCCTTGACTTCCTCTTCTGTACAATGGGAATGCAAAATCTCACCCTGCTTGTGGCACAAAGCTGTCTTGAGGTACAAATGAGACTACCTTCATGGGACTCGAGGTTGTGAACTTGATTCTATCTGAATGTGCAGCTTCTAGCAGTGTCTGGCAGAGAGTAGCTGCTCAGTAAATACATCCTGAATGGATTGAAGTATGGAAGTGCCTTGGAAATGACAAATTATAAGCCACATACTCTGCCCTCCAAACCATGACAGGAAGAGAGAATATTGGATCATGAGTAAAGGGCAAGTCCACCCAGGGAAGCCAGAGGCTAGTATTTTAGATAGCCAAGCACCCTTCTTCCTACAGAAGGTTCCTACTGGGGGTGCCTGGGTGGCTTAGTCGGTTAAGCGTCAGACTTTCACTTAGGTCACGATCTCACGGTTCGTGGGTTCGAGCCCCGTGTCAGGCTCTGTGCTGACTGCCAGCTCAGAGCCTGGAGCCTGTTTCAGAGTCTGTGACTCCCTCTCTCTCTGACCCTCCCCTGCTCACGCTGTCTCTCTCTCTCCTAGAAATAAATAAAACATTAAAAAAAAAAAAAAGAAGGTTCCTACTGAAGTTAGTTTCAGTCCTGTTATAGGTTGAATTGTGTCTCTCCCTACTCACTGCACCCCCTTTCGTTTGTTGAATCCTAGTCCTCAGTACTTCAGAACGTGACCCTATTTGGAAATAGAGTTGTAGCAGATTTAATTAGTTCAGATGAGTCATACCGGAGTAGAATGGATTCCTAATCCAATATGGCTGGTTTCCTTATAGAAAGGGGAAATTTGGACACACACACACACACACACACACACACACACACACACACACCACAGCGGATACCGTGTGAAGCTGAAAGTAGAGGTCTACAAGCCCAGGATTGTCAAATATTGCAGGCAAACCACCAGACATTAGGGGAGAGGCAAGGAACAGATTCTCCCCTCACAACCTGAGAAAGAACTTGCCTTGCCAACACTTGACCTTGGATTTATAGCCTGCAGAACTGTGAGACAATACATTGTTGTTTAAGCCACCCAGCTTGTGGTCCTTTGTTGTTGCAGCCCTTGCAAACGAATGCAGATCCAAACTAAACTCTATGTTCCATGAGGGAAAAGTTCCCATAGCTGAAGAGGTAAGTCCTGCTGATTTTTATCCTCCTCCTGGCTCACCTCTCTGCCACTCTCTTTAAATCTTGGTGTCTCATGCCTGAGCTGTTGGGATAGCCTGGAACCGATCTTCCTGTCCCTGTCTCTGTCCCTTCTAATCAGTCCTTTGTGCTACCCACCAGAGGGAAGCACCTAATGGTCCTGAACAAAGCTGATCATGTCATTCCACAGCTAAGACCTTTACTTCATGGCAAAGTCTTCCCATGACCCGCAGGCCTTTTGTAATCTGGCTCCTGCTTATGATTCTGCATCACCACCTGCCACCACAGTACCATTTGAGGTACATGCTCCTGCCATTTTCAACACCCTGTGCTATCCCACACCTCCACACCTTTCACTTTCAAGTCCTCTGTCCACCCCGCTCTTGTTCATTAGTGACAGTCCCACTCTCCCTTCAAAACCTTCCTTAGACGTCAGCTCCTCTGTGATGTCCCTGACTCCAGTCTACACCCAACACCTTCATAGGTGCCTGGGAAGATCCTTCATTGTTCCACCAGGCTTCTGAATCTCTTGTCGATGGTTTCCATCCTCAGTCTTATCCATGAGGTCACGAGCTTCTAAGGGAGCAGAGATTTTGTTTAATTTCATCTTGGGGCCCCATTCCTAGCAGGTGGTCCAGCATAGAATAGGATCTTGCGGAACGGTGAGGGTAAAACAAAAATGCATCCTGACCTGAACTGAATAAGTCATTCATTGAGCACCTACTACGTGCAAGATGCTTTTTAAAATAAATGTTTATTTACTTATTTTTGAGAGAAAGAGACAGAAAGTGCCAAAGTGAGTGGGGGAAGGGCAGAGAGAGAAGGAGACAGAGAAGCCCAAGCAGGCTCCACGCCATCAATGCAGAGCCCTATGCATGGCCTGAACTCACAAACCTCGAGATCGTGACCTGAGCTGAAACCAAGAGTGTGGCATTCAACTGACTGAGCCACCCAAGTATCCCTGAAGATGCTTTAAGAGACAAAAAAAAAAAAAGGCATGGCCTCTGCTTTTTAGGAGCTCCCAGTCAAGAATAACAAATAATTTAAGCTAATGTGTGTCACTTGGTTATACTGTATCCAGGAATTGCTCTAAGCACTTCATGTGCATCATCTTATTTGATCTTACAAATAACCTTTATTAACGGTTCTTTTATTATCTGGGGAATCTGGGGAACAACAGGGAAAAGTTGTTAATTTGTCCGGGCTAGTAAAAACCAGAGCTAAGACTTGAACTCAGAAAGCCTGGATTCAGAATCCCTCACCTTTAGGCAAATAAACAACTTACCATCTACTTGCCCACGCTGCCCCACTGTCAAGTCCTGCTTACTTTACTGACTAGACATCTTTCAAACACACCCCAGTCTTCTCCATCCACTCAGCTACCTCTCTGGTCCAAGCTACCATATCCTCTCCTCCTGAAATCCTTCAAGATGTTCTGTTTCTCCTCTGTCTGTGCATCATAAAACCCTGATCACATCTCTGTCCACCTCAGTGGTTTTTCATTGCTCTTGGGATCAAAGTGAGATGCTAGCCCACCAGACCCTACCTACCTAGGATCCTTTTCCTCATACCATGCTCATATGCACTCTTGCTTTCTGGCCTCCTAGGCCTCACCATTGAGCCTTTATGCATGTTATTCCTTGTGCCTTGGAAATCTCTCCCATCCACTCTTTACCTACATTTACTACCCATCTTTCTGAACTCAACTTCGGGTTTGCTCTCTCAGGGAGGCCTTCCTCACCTCCCTGACCACACTAGTCAAATCCCCTTATAATTCTCAGAGACACTGAATATATATTTGTTAAATAAATGAGTAACGAATCTTTGATAGTCTTTTTGGAGTCCAAGGAGATGGGCATGAGGTTGAGATTGCAGAAGGAAAGGAAAAACCCTCTGGTCTGTAGTGGTCGAGGGAGGTTTCCTGGTGCTAAGTTGAACTTATAGAAGCAGAGAGACAGCCCCTCCGCAGCAAAAAGCTGGTAAATACCAATAGCTTACTAATCACTTGCAGCAACAATGTGCCAACAATGGCCACCTGGGGACTCAGAAAGTCATGAGTTACAAACAAACAAAAAAAGAAAATCTTAAGGCTGAAAAGCATCCAGTCCTACAGTGTTTCAATCCTACACTCATATTCTATTCGAGGAAACTGAAGACCAGACTGGATGAAGATACTACCTAATGTCACACATAATATTAGGAGCAGGGATGGATCTAAATTGCAGGTCTCCCCATCCAGCAATCTTGCTGAAAGACCAGCCCCTAGAAAAGTGAGGATGATGCTACACAGGTGGGCAGAAGGTAAGGGTATGGGCAGACAGGCTGGTTATTCTGAGGCTCCTAGTATTACCTTGGTGGAGGTCTAAACATTTTTTCCCACAGCTGAAGATGCAACACTTCTTCTTGCTGTCCAGACATTGTCTGTCCTTCGTGCATTCATCCCTTTCTTTGAATTCACATTCCTCTTGGATTCTGGGGCATCTCCCTAAAGGAAAGGACAGTTTTACAACCATGAATCTTAGAGGGCACAGTGCCCACTCTTCTCCCAACCCAAGGCCACTCTGGGAAGTCAGGGAAGTTTGCTTCTTCTCTGTTCATCCACAGGACTCCTTTTCCTTAGGGTGCTCTCATGTATTTCCCAGCACCGTCTACACTATGCTCCCTTCTGAACACCCTTTACTTTCTACCTTCTTACCCTATCCTTAGTTCCACTCCCTAGCCCCATCCCCTCTGAGTCAGAATTTCTCAACTTTGCCACTTGATCATTATTTATGGGAGGGAGAGGGCTGTCCTGTGCACTGTAGGGTGTTCAGCATCTCGGGCCTCTATCCACTGGATGCTAATAGCACTCCCCAGCTTAACAATCAAAAATACCTGCAGATATTGCAAATGTCCCTTGGAAGGAAAAATCGCCCACTGAAATCCACTGGCCTAAGCTAATCTGATCATTTTGGCCTGGTTGAGGAATCAGTGTTTGGGACTTCCCCCCGGGGGTGCTATTACACAATGATTAATATCACTCACCCTGGCAGCAGAGAGTTGGGTTTTTTAATTCTACATCTTGGTTTACCACTCACCTCTCTGAACTTTGGTTTCTTCACTTGAATAGCCATTTAAGCCTTACAAAGTTGTTGAAGGGGGAGTGAGACGACGTGTGTAAAGCTATAATCATAGGAACTGATGCATAACAATGTTAACTAATGTTTGTCAACTGTTTACCATAAGCCAAGGATTTTTCTGTGCATTTTAAATGTTTTGAAATGCTAAATTAAATATTATCTCAGGGTGCCTGAGTGTCTCAGTGGGTTAAGTGTCCAACTTTTGATTTCAGCTTAGGTCATGATCTCGCAGTTGATGAGTTCGAACCCTGCATCAGGCTCTGTTCTGGCAGCACAGAGCCTGCTTGGGATTCTCTCTCTTCCTCTCTCTCAGCCCCTCCCCTGCTCCTGCTCACATTTCCTCTCTCAAAAATAAATATACATTTAAAAAAATTAAATGCTATCTCCTGTAATCCCCCTAATATCTCTAAGAGGTCAGTTCTACTGACATCCCCATTCTGTGGAGAAGGAGATGGAAGCACATGGAATTTAACTAACTTACCCTAGTTTATAGCTACTGAGAAGTGAAACCAGAACTTGGACCCACCATGTCTGACTCCAGATCTCTTTAACTCCCTGCTTTCTAAATGTTCAGTAAATGGTAACCAATTATCATTATTACTCTATAGTCATGGAGGATTACTGTCTTCAGTTCAAAGAAACTTCTGGATACTGTCTTTTATCCCAAAGGCAAGGAACCCCTGGGGATACAGGAATACTTTATAAGACTACATTTGAAAGAATCAGGAGTTGATAGAGATAATATCCTGAAAAAGGAGGCTGTTTTTGATGTGAAGTGAGGGGAAGATCCCCTAGGCTTTCCAGATTCTTATAGCCCCTCCCATATGCAAGATCCTGTGACTCGTCCCTCCACCCTCAATTGACCCTTCACTTCAAAGGGGCTTAAAGCAGGGGTTGCCTCAGGCCCAGATGCTTGCATTCACAAAAGGCATCTTCCATAAAGAGGGAAACAGGAAGAAATGTTCCAAATACCTCCCAACCTTGGAGCAGGCTAACACGGTGGGAAGCAACTCAAGTCTCAGCACTCGTTCCATGTTTCATCCTCCCAGCAACCTTCCCTCTCTCCAGTGCAAGAGGTGAGGCCCCACTACTTACTGGAAAAGATCCAGCCATGCAGACCAGATCCCTGGACATTCACTAGAAGGGTGGATAAGAACAGGATGCTCAAAAGTCTCGAAGAGTCCATTCTGAAGAAGAACTGGCCTGTTCCGTGGTTCCAGAATATGAAAATGTCTGTCTGACTTTGTCCAGCCTATTTCTTCAGTAGTCAGTATCTTGGATGTGAGAGCTGGAGTCAAGCCAGCCACCTCCTATCCTGCTGGGAACACCAAGTTCCTGAGATCATCAATGTGACCAGCTGGCATCTACAGCCCACAGCCCTGGGGAAGGGTCTTTTCTTGGATGGTTCATGATGCTCAATAGCCTGGGCTAGCCTGGGCCCTCTGGTCCACCATGGGGCATGGGCAAAGCTTATCCCATTTTCCGGGTGAACTTAGGAGTACATGCCACCATCAAGGGTCTTGATAACTTTGAGAGTTACGGAATGTCCTCATTCTCCATTCATTTTCCATTTTAGCTGCACACTAACTGCTATGCCCCTTTCATTTGTTTCTGACAATGTGTCTCTATGGGTGTCTTGGTATCTCTTTGTTTATCTGTGCTTCTCTGTGTTGGTGTCTGCCTTATTCTCTTTTCCTGTGGGCTTCTCATGGTCTCTGTGTCTCTTTCTCCCTCTCCCACGCTCTCCCCCATCCTTCAACTTTTTCTCTTTGAGTAGTTCATATTCTTTGACTAAGGCCAAAGAGTAAATATGCTGCTATAGAGTGGAGTGTAAGGAAGGAGGAGCCTGTCAGCAGAATTTTCAGATACTATTTGTCAAGGTCGTATTGCTTTGAGAGCAGTGGAGAATGTCAGCAGAGCTTACAGTGCAAACTCCTTCTTGTCAGAGGAGGAACTGTAAAATAGGGGGGCCTCTTGAGAGACTGTACCCCAGTGAAGCTGCATCGGTAGCAGAGTTGCTGGTTTCTCTCTCTCTCTTTTTTAATATTTATTTAAATTCTAGTTAACACACAGTGCAATATTAGTTCCAAGAGTAGAGTTCACTGATTCGTCACTTACATACAACATCCAATGCTCATCATAGAAAGTGCCCTTCTTTTTTTTTTTTTAATTTTTTTAATGTTTTATTTATTTCTAGGAGAGAGAGAGACAGCATGAGCAGGGGAGGGTCAGAGAGAGAGGGAGTCACAGACTGAAACAGGCTCCAGGCTCTGAGCTGGCAGTCAGCACAGAGCCCGATGCGGGGCCCGAACCCACGAACCGTGAGATCATGACCTAAGCGAAAGTCAGACGCTTAACCGACTAAGCCACCCACGTGCCCCAGAAAGTGCCCTTCTTAATAGCCATCACCCATCTAGCCCATCCCCAAACCCCCTGCCTCCATTAACCCTTAGTTTGTTCTCTATCATTAAGAGTCACGTATAGTTTGCTCCCCTCTCTCTTTTTTTTCCCCAGGGTTTCTGGCTTCTGTCTGGACTGGTGGAAGGGCTCAGGAGAGGGTGCTGGAGAATTTGGCAGCATTCCTACATAGACTCCACAATGCCAGCCAGTCAGTCAGTCCCGGCAGAGGGAGAGCCTCTCTTCAAAGAGTAAATGTTGTCTGTAGGGTCCCCATTTCTTTCCTCAACTAGCTGTTGCACTTTTGGGCCAAGATTTATTCTCTATTTGTCCTACATGATGCACAGAAGCCAGACAAAGCTAGCTGTATCATCAGCGAGTGACTATATGGTCACAAAATTTAGGATCACAGACAGAGGCTCCTGTATGAATCTGTGGTGTATGTCTCAGCCTATTAACAGTGATAGTCTCAGCTAGGAAGGCCTGAGACACTCTTGGGGGCATATTTACTCAAAGCGAGGCCCACATGCATTCCCTTGACAGACATTCCTCCACCACCATGGGTCAGCATTGTGGTCGGACCAGCCTTTGTGGTTATTATGATCACAGGACTTAACCTCTGCCAAACCTTCAGGGAACTTCAGAGCATATGATTTATTATTATGCACAAGCCCTGGAGGGTACATGGCATGCCCAGAAGGCCACACAGAAGGTCGTGGACAAAGAGAGGGGTAGAAAATGCAGACCTGGGACTCTGCCTTTATTAGGGTCCAAGGGCGGAATGTCTAGGGTTTCATGGGTTCACTTTTTATTGGTGAATTTAAAGCATATAAAAGTAGGGATTACGGTGTGGGGAGGGAGAAGCAGGGTCCCTCAGGTGGTCAGTTATCTAGGTTCCTTGAGACCTTTCCAAAAGGGGAACTTCATGGGTGAAGACACCCTGGTTCCTTATCTGGCTGTGTTGTTGGTATCTTTGTTATGCAGCTGGGGCTGGAATAAACACTTGGTGCAAACTACTGGATGAGCAAGAGAGATATGTGAATGAATGGATGGCTCCTAGTATGATGAATGGGAAGATAGTTGGAAGAATATGAAGAAAGATGGGTGAGGGTATCATGGATATTTGGGTGCATGAATACATGAACATGGCTGGGTGGATGAATGGCTGAGTGAAGAAATGGATTGGATTAAACAGAAGGATGGACAGGTTAGTAATGGGATGAGTGGGTAATTGATGGAAACTCTTTCAATGGCAGGTAGATGAGTGAATTGTTACATGGATGGAGGGGAGATAGGTGTAGAAATGATGGAGAACTATGTTGACAGGTATGAGAATGTGTGTGTATGAAAGATGAATAAAGGCTAGATATAAAACAGGCAGCTGGATAGGTGGAAAGAAGATGGATGAGAAGGGTAAATTGATGGATATATGAGTGAAAAAAATGGGTGGAAAGATTGATAAATTTAAAGGTATGTCAATGCAGGCTAGGTGAGTGGATGGGTAGGTGGTAATTGGATTGAATGATTAGTGGATATTGGGGACAGGGTAGAAGCATGAGTATATGAATCAAAACATTAACCAAAGTTAAAGACATAAAAAAAATTATGTGGAAAATAATTTATACTACTCTAAGTAATACATTTGAAAATGGAGAGAAAATGGATCAATTTTGGCAACATATAAAACACCAAAATTTACAGAGGAGGAGGTAGAGAGCCTATATATACTATAAGGTAAAGCACACACACCCAAAAAAAAAAAAAAATAGTAAAATTGGATTGCCTGAGTGGCTCAGTCTGTTGACCATCTGACTCTTGATTTTTGGCTCAGGTAATGATCTCACAGTTTGTGGGATCAAGCCCTGCGCTGGGCTCTGTGCTGAGTGTGGAGACTGCTAGGGATCTCCCTCTCCCTCTCTCTCTGCCCTTCACCCGCTCATGCTCCCAATCTCTCTCCCTTTCTCAAAATAAGAAAATAAAAATTTTAAATTATTTAAAAATTATTTAAAATATACCACTAGAGGGGCGCCTGGGTGGCTTAGTCGGTTAAGCGTCCGACTTTCGCTTAGGTCATGATCTCGCGGTTCATGGGTTAGAGCCCCGCGTCAGGCTCTGTGCTGACTGCCAGCTCAGAGCCTGGAGCCTGTTTCAGTCTGTGACTCCCTCTCTCTCTGACCCTCCCCTGCTCACGCTGTTTCTCTCTCTCTCTCCTAGAAATAAATAAAATATATATTTAAAAAAAAATAAAAAAAAAAATAAAATAAAATATACCACTAGAGAAGAAACCTTACTTAGTTGCTTTTGGAGCTCAATTTTGTGTAGCCCTTTAAAAATAGAGGATATTGCGGCGCCTGGGTGGCTTAGTCGGTTAAGTGTCCGACTTTCGCTTAGGTCATGATCTCGCGGTTCGTGGGTTCAAGCCCCGCGTCGGGCTCTGTGCTGACTGCCAGCTCAGAGCCTGGAGCCTATTTCAGAGTCTGTATCTCCCTCTCTCTCTGACCCTCCCTGCTCATGCTCTCTCTCTCTCCTAGAAATAAAAATATTTAAAAAAAATAAAAATAAAAATAGAGGATATTATTAAATATTATTATGGAAAATATTTAAAATATGACAGATCATAGGTGGTGCCTGGATGACTCACTCAGTAGAGTATGCAACTCTTGATCATGTAGAGTAAGCCCCTGAGGGCATGCCTCAAGTTCATGCCCCAAACATTGGGCATAGCTATTACTGAATAGAAAATAAAAATAAATTAAAATATTAAAATATTACAAATCATAGGAAAAATAAGCTCCCAATTAGTTTTCCATACTAGTTTGTTGAAAGTGGTATGATTCCAATAGCAAAACATACAAATTAATAGACTCATTTTTCTTTCGACTCTTGATGTGAAATTTCTAAATAAACTATTTGCTAAAAGAACTTTTGGTGTATTAATAGAAGTATACCTTCAATATGATTAAGGTCAATCCAGGTATGCAAGGATGGTTCAATGTATGAAAATTTAATAATATAAGTTCTTATGCTAACAAATTAGAAGAGAAAATTACTACATGACTAGATGCTTGAAAGGTATTTGATAAATTCCATAGTAATATCCAATAGCAGTTGTAAATGTATAAAAAGAAAACAATCCAAGTGCAGTAAAATCTATTTATCTCAAAGCCCACAACAAATGACATTTCATACAGCAGGAGACATTGACTTTAAGATAAAGAACCAGACAGGTATAGATGTCATTGTCTTTATTTTCAACATTATTTCAGAGGCTCTACATGATACAAAAAGACAAGAAAACAAAGAAAGTCATGACATTGGGGAAAAAGAGAGTCAAATTACTCATCATTTTCAGTCATGATTATATATAAAACCTAAGTAAGCTCATTAAATATTGTTATACTTCTTTTTTTCTAACAGAACTTTTAAAAATTATCTCAAAGACTTTGTTTTAATCAAGAATATTTTCTTAGAACCTGTTGTGTTTTTTTTTCATTTCATTGTTTCTATACTATATTATGTTTTTGTTTCAGAAATGACATTTCTGAATCCATTCTTCATATTTTTTGTGTTTTTTACATTTATTTATTTACTTATTTATTTTTAATTTATTTTTTAAATTTACATCCAACTTAGTTAGCACATAGTACAACAATGATTTCAGGAGTAGATTTCTTAATGCCTCTTACCCATTTAGCCCATCCCCCCTCCCACATCCCCTCCAGCAACCCTTTGTTTGTTCTCCATATTTAAGAGTCTCTTATGTTTTTGTCTCCCTCCCTGTTTTTATATTTTTATTCCCTTCCCTTATGTTCATCTGCTTTGTACCTTAAAGTCCTCATAAGAGTGAAGTCATATGATATTTGTCTTTCTCTGACTGACTAATTTTGTTTAGCATAACACCCTCTAGTTCCATCCACGTAGTTACAAATGGCAACATTTCATTCTTTTTGACTGCGAGTAGTGCTCCGTTGTGTATATATACCACATCTTCTTTATCCATTCATCCATCAATGGACATCTGGGCTCTTTCTATACTTTGGCTATTGTTGATAGTCCTGCTATAAACATTGGGGTGCGTGTGCCCCTTTGAAATAGCACACCTGTATCCCTTGGGTAAATACCTAGTAGTGCAATTGCTGGGTCATAGGGTAGTTCTATTTTTAATTTTTTGAGGAACCGCCATACTGTTTTCCAAAGTGGCCGCACCAGTTTGTATTCCCACCAGCAGTGCAAAAAAGATTCTCTTTCTCCACATCCTCACCAACATCTGTTTTTGCCTGAGTTGTTAATGTTTGCCATTCTAACGGGTGTGAGGTGGTATCTCATTGTGGTTTTGATTTGTATTTGCCTGATGATGAGTGATGTTGAGCATTTTTTATGTGTCAGTTGGCATTCTTCATATTTTAAACAAACCTTCATTTATTTAATTTTTATTTTTTTATTTAAATCCAAAGTAGTTAACATGTAGTGTAATAATGATTTCTAGAATAGAATTTAGTGATTCATCACTTACATATAACACTCGGTGCTCATCCCAGCAAGTGCCCTCCTTAAAGCCCATCACCCATTTAGCCCATCCGCTCACTCAACACCCCTCCAGCAACCCTCAGTTTGTTTTCTCTATTTAAGAGTCTCTTATGGTTTGTTTTCCTCTTTTTTAAATCTTATTTTTGCTTCCCTTCCATTATGTTCATCTGTTTTGTTTCTTAAATTCCACATATGAGTGAAATCATCTGTCTTTTTCTGACTGACTTATTTCGCTTAGCATAATACATTCTAGTTCCATCATGTTGTTGCAAATAGCAAGATTTCATTCTTTTTGATCACCAAGTAATATTCCAGTGTGTGTGAGCACGCGTGCATGCGAGCACTGGTATATATTTTTATATATAAATGGACAAAGAAGATGTGATGTATACATGTCACATATACGTTCTTTGTCCATTTATCAGTCGGTGGACATTTGGGCTCTTTCCATAATTTGCTATTGTTGATAGTGCTGTTATAAACATTAGGGTGCATGTGCCCCTTTGAATCAGCATTTTTGTATCCTTTGGATAAATACCTAGTAGTACCATAGCTCGGTCATAGGCTGGTTCTATTTTTAATTTTTTGAGAACCTCCATATTGTTTTCCAGAGTGACTGTACCAGTTTTCATTCCCACCAACAATGCAAAAGAGTTCCCCTTTCTCCACATTCTCACCAACATTGGTTGTTTCCCGACTTGTTAATTTTAGCCATTCTGACTAGTGTGAGGTGGCATCTCGTTGTGGTTTTGATTTGTATTTCCCTGATGATGAGTGATGTTGAACATTTTTTCATGTGTCTGTTAGCAATCTGGATGTCTTCTTTGGAAAAGTGTCTATTCATGTCTTCTGTGCATGTCTTAACTAGATTATTTGTTTTTTTGGGTGCTGAGTTTGGTAAGTTCCTTATAGATTTTGGATACTAACTCTTTATCTGATATGTCATTTGCAAATATCTTCTCTCATTCTGTCAGTTGCCTTTTAGTTTACCTGATTGTTTCCTTCACTGTGCAGAAGGTTTTAATCTTAAGGGGGTCCCAATAGTTCATTTTTGCTTTTGTTTCCCTTGCCTCTGTAGACATGTCAAGTAAGAAGTTGCTGTGGCCAAGGTCAAAGAGGTTGCCGCCTGTGTTCCCCTCTAGGACTTTGATGCTTTTCTGTCTTACATTTAGGTCTTTCATCCATTTTGAGTTTATTTTGTGTATGGTGTAAGAAAGTGGTCCAGGTTCATTCTTCTGCATGTCTGTCCAGTTGTCCCAGTAACATTTGCTGAAGAGACTGTCTTTTTTCCATTGGATATTCTTTTCTGCTTTGTCAAAGATTAGTTGGCCAGATATTTGTGGGTCCATTTCTGGATGGAAAAATTCCCAACAAGATACTAGCAAACCGGATCCAACAATACATTAAAAGAATTAATTAATTATCCACCACAATCAAGTGGGATTTATTCCTGGGATTCAGGGCTGGTTCGATATCTGCAAATCAATCAATGTGATACATCACATTAATAAAAGAAAGGATAAGAACCACATGATCCTCTCAAAAGATACAGAAAAAGAATTTGACAAAATACAGTATCCCTTCTTGATAAAAATCCTCAAGAAAGTAGGGATAGAAGGAACATACATCAAGATCATTAAGGCCATAAATGAAAGACCCACAGTTAATATCATCTTAATGGGGGAAAACTGAGAGCTTTCCCCCTAAGGTCAGGAACATGACAAGGATGTCCATTGCTATCACTGTTATTCAATATAGTGTTGGAAGTCCTAGCCTCAGCAATCAGTCAAAAAGAAATAAAAGGCATCCAAATCAGCAAGGAGGAAGTAAAACTTTCATTACTCACAGAAGACATGATACTCTACATGGAAAACTCAAAAGACTCCACCAAAAAATCTGCTAGAACTGATCCATGAGTTCAGCAAAGTCTCAGGATATAAAATCAACATACAAAAATCAATTGAATTTCTATACAGCAATAATGAAGCTGCAAAATGAGAAATCAAGGAACCAATCCCATTTACAATTGCTCCAAAAACCATAAAATAGGAAGAAATGTAACCAAAGAGGTAAAAGATCTATGCATGCAAAACTATAGAAAGCTTATAAAAGAAATTGAAGAAGATGCAAAAGAAATGGGAAAACATTCCATGCTCATGGCTTAAAAGAACAAACATTATTGTCAATACTACCCAAAGCAATCTACATATTCAATGCAACCCTTATCAAAATAACACCAATATTCTTCACAGAGGTAGAACAAACAATTCTAAAATTTGTATGGAACCAGAAAAGACCCCAAGTAGCCAAAGTATTATTGAAGAAGAAAAACAAAGCTGGAGACATCACAGTTCCGGACTTCAAGCTGTATTACAAAGCTGTAATCAAGACATTATGGTACTGGCACAAAAACAGACACATAGATCAATGGAATAAAATATTGTTGTATTTCTTAAGACAACTTGGCAAGGTGGTTGGTAGAAGATAAAATTGATAGCTTTTTCTTATGTTACTCATAATTAATTACATTGATGATAACGTTTTTCACTTACTATTCATTTTTGAGGTTCCAGGCACTTCAGTCCACAACGTGAACAGCACTTCTGTGACAGTGGGCAATCATAATCCCGAAGGCACACAGGTCTATCAATCTTGGAACACACCACAGGCTTGTGCGGGCAGAAACCTGATTTGGCTTTATGGGATAAAATAAGACACTTGATCTTGAAATACTTGATTATAGTTTGAGACAAATTTGGGAGATTTGGAGAACCCTAAAAAGGGCTTTCTTCTGATGAAGTGTCTTACCCTTCGCCATAGAGTAACAACAGATTGTATAAGGCAGAGTATCAACTTTCTGTGGCTAATAGTTTGAGGAGTATCAAAAAGGCTTGCCATCTCTGAGTTACAAAATCTGATAGGATTCCTGCTGGCCTCAAAGAACTAACGGATTTATTTGGCTTATCTGATCCCAGATTACCAGAGATAAAAGGAATATGAGAGAGCATCCAGAACTTCTTATTTAAAAAAAAATAAATTATAGAAATTGAGACTCATGTAGGGAAGTGAGTTGCCTCCAGCCATAAAGAAAACTAGTAAAAGAGTTGAAGTCAGTTGAAAGGTCTTGGATTCTTTCCACCATACTGTGCTGTGACTCAAAATATTAACAATCCCTGGGACAAAACTATACCAACTCAGCACTACATGAAGGAATGAGCACTAGCCTCAGAGACTACAGAGTTCACTTCTGCCCCAACAACATTTTGCTACCAATCATTACCCCAGCATACCTACAGGATGTGAATATGCTCTACATGCTCTGAAGTTCTGTGCAGACATAAGGGCTTATTAGGAATTTACATAATGGTTATCACTTTTTTGTACAAATAAGTGGATATTGTCACCTGTCAGCCATTGAAGATGAGACTCAGAATAAATAAGTTCTAATGGGGAAAAATAAGGAGTGATACTATGTATGATTGTTTTTAAAGACTAGTAAATTAGTTTATTGAGATTGGGAGGACAACACAAGAGCAGTAATTGGGCATTAAAAAAAGGAAAAGTTCCCAAGGTCAACTGAAGGGCTATCTCCTATTCCATTATGACATCCTTACCATATGTCCCAGAAACTATGGGAGGTATACCCCAGTGCTCACCTGCCCAAGCCATGGCACAAACAAAGCCACACATGGATTCACAACATTTGTCACTTTGGGGGCAATCGATGTCACTCTTACACTGAGCTGAACACTCCATACGGTCCTTGAAAGGGAAGAGTGGACAATGTCCTTCCTTGACTAAAACAAGAACAGATGTGAGTTCTCTTAAGCCCCAGCCCATCTCACCCCTTTAAATAGCTTTCCCTTCCCCTCCAAACTAGTATCTCTTACTATCACTTGGTTCACTCTACCCTGATGACCTCTGATAGGCTGTGGAAGAATGTAATGCCCCATCATCTCATGGGATGTAGTAAAGAGTTAGACTTGGTGTTTGAAGCACCAGGTGAGAAGATGGCTCCCTGTATCAGGGTGGCAGCTGTCAATGTGGTAAGAAGTGGTCAAATTCTGGATCTATTTTCAAGGTAAAGCTCAAATGATTTCCTAATTCAATGGATGTGGATTGAGAAAGAACAATGCTGATTCATCAAAGGTGATTTAGAAGTTGTTTTTTTTACAACCAAGCTGGGGAGAACTATGGACAGAGCAGGTTTGAGGTGGGAGAGCAAAGATGAGTGGTTCTGTTTTAGACAAATGAAGTGTGAGATGTTTCTGAGATCCCAATAGAGGAGTAGATTAGGCAGTTGGAGTTTGGGAGTCACATTCAGGCTGGAGATACAACTGTGTGAGTCACTAGGGAAGAGATGGTATTGAAATTAATTCTTTAGAATTTTGTGCATGTTTTCCGTTGTCCTTATCTGATTGCAAATTCTATGAGGGTAGGAAGTATTTCCTTTCTTCCTCTTCCCCCTCTCCTTCTTCTTCTCCTTCCTTCTCCTTCTACCTTTTCTTTCTCTTCCCATTCTCCTTCTTCTCCCTTTTCCTCTTCTTCCTTCTCCTCCTCCTCCACTCCCCCCCCCCACCCCGCTTCTTCTTCCTTAGGTCAGATTCTGACAGACTGTGGTGTATTTGACTCTCAGAACTATTATTAGGTTCTTTCTGAGACCTAAACATAAATTTCCCACAAACCAGCCCAAACCAATTTTCCTGGGCTCTCCTTCCTGCTGGCTTCTGAGGGACAACCAAGGTCTCGTTTATAGTGCCATAATTCCTTACAATCTCCCACAGAGGGTCAGGCCACAAGATTGCCTTGGCCATTCAGGCTCACTAGGCCTATAAAATTAAAATTCCAGATCTACCCCTGACCCACTGTGAATCCTTGGGCAACTAACTTTACCTTTCTGTTTTCTTGTCTGTAAAATGGAGGTGATGGTATACATTTTCTCCTGCATTGCAGGATCTAAGGTCAAAGTTCTAGTGCTGCCTTGTAAAGTCAGACAGTGCTGCATTTTGAACATCGATGGTCACCACCTCAACTATTACCATTTAGCAAACCCACACTGCTGAACAGCCACCATGTCAAATATTTGTATCCTGATCACATATAATCTTACCAACAACTCAGCAATGATTTTTGTTATTCCAGTATTACAAGGGAGGGAACTGAAACTCAACAGGTGAAGAAATTTGCAGTAAGTGGGAAAAGGGGGATTTTTATTTACATCATTTGGCACTTAAACTGTGTAAGACTGTCTCCCAACATTACTGCTGATGGTCATTATAGTGAGGAATTAATCCATAGCCCACACCTTCACCCCTCCCTGTTATTCACCTACTCCATGCCTACTTACGCTTCATTTTTGGGTGAGTCCTCAGCTAATACTCAACAAGTATGTGTACTTTCTCATTTTTGTGGCAAAACAACTGCATCAAGCCAATACTATTATTACCCCCATTTTATAGACAAGAAAACTGAAGCTCATGGAAGCAGGAAATTGAACCATCTGTTCAGTAAAGAGTAACCTAAACTTGAACAAAACATTTTAACCTCAAAGCCTGAGCACATAACTATGCTGGCATACTATTTCTAGTTACACTAGGCTCTCAGATGGCCAGCCGTATACGTCTTACCAAGAAATGTGCAAGCCATTTTGCAGTGTTCCTTGCTGATGAAGTTGTTGGCATTCCCAAGGCAGCCTCCATAGGTAAAGGGTTTGCAGAGGTGATGTTTATTGTCAAAATACCAGTGCCTGATATTAATGTTACAGTTTCCTTGGTCTAAGGGTAGCAGGCAGGGCTCTGAGGGCAGGAAGCAAAGAGGGAAGAACATAAAGGGTAGCAAAAAAGAGAAGAGGTCAGGCCTTCACCTTTGTACAGTTCTTGGTATTAGATTCAAGTCATAAGGAGAGCCATCATCAATATAATTTCTATCCTAGCTCTACTACAAATACTCTATGTCGAATAGAATCTCTGAGCATCATTTATACCTTTCAAAAGACATAGTGAAAAGCATATGAGGTGCTTTGGAGCTGATCTTTCTTCTCTACTGCCCTGAGCTTAGGGAGGACAAGACTTGTTCAAAGTGCCTAACAAAGCGCCTGGCACATAGAAAGAATAACACATCAAGAAGGGAAAAAAAATAGCCTCTCATGCTTGGAAGCTGATCATAGCTCACAGCTGAGCCATGGTGTTCCCCTGACAGATATCAACCAGCTCACCAGACAGCCACATCAAACAAGGTCACTCTGGAACCATGATAAAGGGAGACCAAAAAACAGTAATTGTGAAACCCACAGAATACCCATCACCTATGAGTGACTTATGCTTCACTAACCATTACGGATTTATCCTCAGTCTTGCCTGCCCTCTCTGTAGGTAAGATTCCCTGAGATAATCATAAAATTGCCCCACTTTCTGACAACACCCACCTAAACCAAATCCACCCCTGCAAATTACTCAATCAAAGCCCCAATCCCATAGTCGATTCTTTCCAACAGCTTCTTACTGAGATCCTTCAGGTTGTCTGTGGCGAATGTTCTCCCTCACTGCGATGACTAATAAACCCAACTTGTTCAGCTACAGATGTGTTCCTGGTAGTCTTTGGCCAAAAGACACTAACAATAGAATAAATGGATGTCTATATCTATATCTATAATGCATAATTTCCTCTTATGAGATGCTCTATACTTCGAGTTACCAGAAAACCTCTTTGAAGGCCTAAGAGTCCAAAAACAAACCCAACATCTAAGCTGACTGATTTTGTATTTACTACAGTGCCTCTGACACACAGTGAACATACGACAAGTATTAATTATTTGTGAATGCTTGAATGTTGGACCAAAGAAGACTAATATCAATATTATCCAGTTGCCATCCACCATGTCTAGACTCATTGTTTGTACTTGAGGGTTGGAATCTAACTAGAGAAAGAGGAAAGCATGAGCCCTGGCCTGTTTGTCCTACATGGAATCCAAGGGAATCGTTCGGCAAATTCTCAATGGGGCAGGAAGTAAGACACCTCAAAAAGCACCTGCGCCCTCAGCCTTGGTGCGACTACCTTTGAGTGGATCCATGCACTTCTTCCCACAGGCGAATGAGCAGCATTTCATCTGTTCTATGCACTGTTCATCATTTTGGCACAAATCTGGACCTCGAGTTTTACAGTTGATCCTCTCATGGGGGCACACTCCTGGTTTCTCTACAAGAGAATAATGTCAACATTCACATCCCTTGAGAGTTTCAGCTCTCCTCCCATGGCAAAGGAGAATAGTGATATTCTCTCAGCTTTCTCCTCTACCTTCCATCCTCAGTGCTTGCTCTGCTTATATTATGGGTGGGTCTGCCTCTCACCACTCGTTTAGATCCATCTGAATTTGGAAACTGTGGTCAGGTAGAAGGGAAGGGAAGCATCTCAGATTCTACAGCAGGGAGTTAAATAGGGACCAAGAACCTTACCTTAAGTTCAGGAACTCCTCTCTCTTCTTGAAATGTAATATATTAATGTCTAGTTCCTCTGTCTCCAGTATCTCAGTTGACAGGGAAATTAATTAGTAAGAAGTGGTGGAAATATCATGGAAATAAGAATATGGTGGACACGACACCCAGTTTGGGCCCCTGACCCCTTGTGAGCTCAAGAATAACCTGAGTTCCACTATATAACTTCACAGTTATCTTTAAAGTGGGAAGGAATGGTGCAGTGGGAGGAGCACTATAAGACAGACTCCAACATGACTAGCTAAATTATCTTGGGGAAAAAAATCTTCCTTCTGAGTCTTAAGCTTTCCATCTATAAAGTGAGAATTTCAATGTAATGCACTCATCACAGTATCTGGCACATGGGAACAGCTTGGCAGATATGGGTTTGCTTCCTCCCTTTGTAAGGCTAAACACAGCTTCCTCTTATCTGTGCTTGTAGGAGGCAGAATCCTAAAGTTGCATCCCCCAGATTCCCATCCTCTGCTTATTGAATTAAATATGAATTTCAGTACTGCTGTGAAGGGATTTCATACATAGAATTAAAGTTCCAAGTTAATTGACCTTAAAATATAGAGATTATCTGAGTGGGCCAGACCTAAGCTGTTGAGTCCTTTAAAAAAGGAGAGGTTTTCCCCCTGATTAATAGAGAAGAAGTAAGAGAGATTGGAAGTGTAGGAGGAATCCAACATGCAATTAGTAACTTTGAGGATAGAAGCTAATTGTCCTGGACGGAGGGTGGCCTCTGTGGAAGCAACCTCAGTAGTACAACTGTTACAGCCAGTGCGCATGGGTGAGAACCCTGGGTCCCAAATGGAAACTGCAGCTTTGCCTCACATCCTGATTTCAGCCTGGTGAGAACCTAAGCAGAGCCAGAACCTGAGCCAGAACACCACACCAGACTTCTGAACTACAGGTAATGTGTTACACAGCCAGAGATAGCTATTATATCGTGCCAGGGGCTGCGAGGTTCTAAACTGAGCATCTTTCCAGCGAGATCTGCTGGAGAGGCCTGATCTTTTTGGATACCACCAAATATTGGAATTACAGAAGTTTAGAATTGGAAAGACCATACTTATTAGTATCACCCTCTTAATTTCTTAAGTTAAAAAATATGAGGTCAGATGAGAAAATAGAGTGAACGAAGGGCAAATCTAGGTCTTCCAATCCATGATTCACTTTGAAAGCCCTGAGCATTGGCCAGTGAAATTGTTATGCTTTCCAATTATATTTCTTAGCCTTCATACCACCCTTCATGCACCCTCAAAGATGTCCTTGAAGCTAAGAGTATATGCTTCCTAATGTGGAGTTATACATTTAAAACATCTGTGCATCGGGGCGCCTGGGTGGCTTAGTCGGTTAAGCGTCTGACTTTCGCTTAGGTCATGATCTCACGGTTCGTGGGTTAGAGCCCCGTGTCAGGCTCTGTGCTGACTGCCAGCTCAGAGCCTGGAGCCTGTTTCAGTCTGTGACTCCCTCTCTCTCTGACCCTCCCCTGTTCACGCTGTCTCTCTCTCTCCTAGAAATAAATAAAAAATATTTAAAAATAAAATAAAATAAAACATCTGTGCATCTTTTAAAAATATAGACCATGTCCCAAATCAGAATCTGTACAAAGTGAAGCCTAGGGACTCAAACTTTTTTTTTAAAGTTTTTTTTTTTTTAAGCTACTGTTATTGTAGCTCCTCTCCCCTGTCAGTTTCAACTCTCACTTAGAATCCTCCTCCCTCAGCCATTTACCTTGTCCGATCAGGCTCCTCCCTGATATACACACAATGGGGATTCCTCTGCAGTTACTCGGAATGCACCCTGAAGTTGGGGTCTCACTCTCTGCTGTCATTACTTGACACACACTTCCCGCGTGACCACATCCATTCCAAAGGTACTGCGGTTCCCATACCTCCCTCCAGGCTTGTCCTCACTTCCAAGCCAAAGACATATATCCAGCCACCTGGGGAACATGCAGCTGGGCATCTTGTAAAGACCTTTGTTCCCACATGTACAAAACCGAACTAGCATCTCCCTATGCCTCAGCAGTGCCTCCTTCTCTCTGCTCCCATCTTTATACCTGGCATCAACAGGGGGCCAGGCTTTCACAAGAACCCCGAGATTCACTCCTTCCTGTCACTCCAGCATCCTGTCAGGCATGGACTCGGTTCAGTTCCTCCTCCTCATCTCTCTCCAAGCCCCGTGGCTTCCCTCTTGGCCACCACTTTCAGACAGCTCCCGACCTCAGCCCATCCCTCTCCTCCACTTGTACAACCTCCTCCCCACTGTCCTCTGACCTCAGGCCCCTTCCCAGTGTCTGATTCACCACTAAAAATTAAACTTGAAAAAGATATAAATGAGGCAAAGTTAAGGAAAGAATTTGGGGGAGCAAGTGAGGGAAGGATTCAAGGGTCCCAGGGTGGGTGAGCAGGGCTAGTCCTCTGAAGCCACAGTAGAAATCGCTTCCTCCGACACACGAGTCCTTGCTTCCTGTCCGACCCTCAGTCCCAGGAAGGTCTCCTGAAGGAGGCGTGGCCGTGGCTTCCCTCAACCCACTTTTGTCTCTTTTCACTGGCGATGCAGATGTGTCCTCCAAAGAGAGAGAGAGAAGCAGCAGGAGCACTACGTTCCTCGGGGAGAAGGCGGAGCTGTGGACAGGAAGGCACCTGTGCGGGGTGACAAGAGGCGTGGGGATCAGGCACCGGCCAGACAGAGACACAGAGCGTGTGCTGAGAACCACGCAGAGGGCCCACCGCTCCCCTCAGTTCACAGATGAGGAAACTGCGATGCGCGGTGGGGAAGAGGGTTGTCTGAGCTCACGAGAAGCGTAGGGCGGGGCCTTCAAGCTCAGGAGCTCCTGGTGTGCCAGGAGCCGCACTGACCTCGCTGGATGGCAGTCACAGCAAGGAAATGGCAGCGTTTGCACAGCTCCAGCCATGAGAAATGAAAACTGGTATCTCCTGCTACTACTGGCTCGTTTGTGCTGGTATTGACCAGGTCTCACAATATTCCATATCAGACCCATATTCTGAACACAGATCCCTCATAAGGAAAAGCATATTCCTGCCTTTACAAAAGAGGCTTTAGATGAAAGCTCTGTGAATGATTGTCAAAAGGCTCTTCCTATGGGCCTTGAAGACCCAAGACTTAGATAATAAAGGGGGTTAAGAACACAAGAGTTACAATTGAGCCTGGCCCCGAGACAAAGAGCCTATTTTGGGGTTTAGGGCAAAACATAGTTACTACATATATCTTTGCTAATTGGTGAAGCATAGCAGTCCCTTCCTCAAGGCCTACTTTCCACAAACACCCTCCCTTACACTGGCAACTGGGATGAGGATACATAAGAGTAGCTAAAACATAAACCCAGGTGCTAAGACTGACACATTTAGGATCCCCATGGTAGTTTCCACAAAGAAACCAATTCAGAAACATTCATCCTCTTGAGAGCCAGACAGAATGACTCCTAGCTTATCTATATACAATTAAACAAATATGTTATCCTGTTTTTCACTAAGAACATACTGTTAATTCCTTGGTTGTAAATTCACTATAACTGAGATAATTCTGCAGAATATCAAAAACTTGTTATCACAAAAGGCCTCCCATTGTAGAAATTCCTTTCTCTGACTTCATGATGTTGCTGAACCTTTAAATAAAGACACAAAAACCGACAGGACAGAGATGCTTGCCTGGTGATCAGAAAGAATCTCGGGGCTTTCTCACTCTCTCTCGCTGACACCGTCCATCCTTCAGGGACCCCTGGACCTGTCAGAGCCGGCTCGGCCTCCAACACTGGTGGCCCCACACTCTGCCCCCGTCCTGGCTCATGCCCCATTGGGACCCTCGCCCAGCGTCTTGTTCCTACAGGAGAGGTCGTATATCAGTGATGACAAGGATTTGTCTGGAACAGTTGCAGGGCTGGTCTGCCCACTGTCATTCCCAGGGCGACCCCGGACACGTGGGGACACCTTTCCCTTGCTCCACTGATGGCCAGAAACTGATGGTAGGAGACTTTCAGGAGGGCCTGGGCATGTCCCATAGGGACCAGGAGCTAAAAAATCCCAGATGACCGTGAGTTAACAAAAGGAACCATCGTTTTCTTTCCGGTGTTATCCAAGCCTCACTTCAGATACTCCCAGAATATCAGACTGTTCAGAATGGCAATTATGGCCCCAAACCCAGTGACACTGATTTTTGGTCCTGGCTTGGTAACTCACTGCTGTAGCTGGATGCGGGAGCATCGGTTTCCCCATGTAGGAAACGGAAATGATACACCTGTCTGGCAGCTTTGTTGTCACTGTGAGGATTAGCCGAGATAGTGTGAGGATTATTCACGAAGTGGCAAGGAATGGTCAAAAGCAGTGCCCAGGGTTAGACCTGAGTTCACACTGTGGATTCGCTCAGCCGCTGAAGTTCACTGAGCCTCAATTTTCCTTCCTTCCTTCCTTCCTTCCTTCCTTCCTTCCTTCCTTCCTTCCTTCCTAATATTTTATTTTTAAGTCTCTCACCCAATGCCGGGCTTGAACTCATAAGCTTGAAATCAAGAGTTGCTCGCTCTGCACACTGAGCCAGCCATGTGCCCCAAGCCTCAGTTTTCTTTAAAGGAAATAGTAACACATCTACTTCATTGACATGAGAATTAATTGAACTATTGTGGAAAGCATGGTGACTGGCATATAGTGCTTAATATACTTTAGTCAGTAAAAAAAACAATTCACTGAGTGCAATGCAAACACTAAAAAAAAGGTACTATTACCTTTTCAGCTTTTAAGTGTCCTGTGTATATCATTGTTTTTGTTCCCCCAAAAGATTCACCAAGGCCCTTTGGTGTCTTAAATTCTTATAATCAAATCAGCCTTTTGGTGTGAAGTTTTACACCTATTAACCCAGTCTTGAGAATTCATTGATCAGATTAGCCTGTAGTCAGTTAGGAGGAAGCAGCGCTCCAGGGGTCGGGGTGCAGGGAGAGATGCGGATCAAAGACTGCCAAACATAACACAGCACGTCCAGTTAGAATTTTTAGGACAAGTATATCCCATGAAATACAAGGACCATCATTATACTAAAAATTATTTGGCATTTATCTATGATTCAGATTTAGTTGGTGATCTTACATTGTTATTTCCTAAATCTGGCAACTGCCTGGGATGCAAATCAAAGTGAATTCATTTTGATTTGAGGGGGATCTGTTCGGGCAAGAGACCACCAACCGTGGGTCCTGTGTGGAGTGAGCAAATGCGTGTGGGGGACTTGCTCAGTGGCCCTGGGCGCTGGGACAGACGTGGGAGGCACAGGCACCTGGGGGCTGCAGCAACAGCCATGAACCGGGAATGAAGAGACTTTGAAGCCATGCCAGTTCGGGCCACTCTTCTGTCAGCCTACCCGTGTGAAAATGACGAGATTCCACTCAGTCAGTCCTGATCGCGCTGGCGCACGTTACCCCGGAGGGCACAGGAAGGCTTCCAGAGGCTCCACAGGCAGCCTTAAGGGCATGATGCCCTGGCTCTTCAACTCTGCACGTACTTTTTCCTGAAGTTGGTTTGCTGAGAAAGAGCCTGCGGTCTGCCTTTCTCCTTTCCTACCTGTCTCTCACAAAGCCCTGTGCTGCTTCCAGAAAAGGAGGGGGTAGGGTGCATACTTCTTACCTCTCTGTTGCATGTGTCCGAAGTGGAAAACCTGAGTTACAAACAAAGGAACACTTTGAGAGTGCATTTCCCTGAGGATGCTTCCCAAGGAGCAAAGCAAAAATGTGTGGGTAGGAAACACGAAGAGGCCGGTCAGTACTTTGTTTCATTCAGGTGACAAAGTCATAGTGTGTCACTGTGCCTTTAGCTCCCTCTTCTAGAGTTAGAAATCCCAAGAGTGATGGTACATATCCACAGGGATGTGTATTAAATCATTCCTTTCAACTGAAAAATGAAGTCCGTTGTTTCGTGGGAGAAAGCGGCCTGATTAGGC